GCCGAGGCATCGAGGGCGAGGCCTCCGTGATGCGCGTGAAGCGGCACGTAAACCACTGAGCACTGCTCTCGTTGCGAAGCAGTCGCTGCATGCATTGATGGCGTGGTCGGACAGAGTCCGAGGCATCTTGGGCACGGCCCTTCACTGCACGAAGACTGCGGGGTTAGCAGTGCTTCGTCGGATGTTGTGGATAACATCGGAGCTTAAAAGGAGGGGACAGTGAGGTTGACATCGGACGACGCGGAGTGCGTATTCACCCTGGTCTCACCAAGACATAGAACCTCTGTACAGAGTCGGCGGCGACGTCGTACGCTGATTGCAAGACGCCGGGCGTCGACCCTGATCCAGGGTGTGTCTACCGTAGACGATGGCGCACAGTTATACACCCTACCCTGATCCAGGGTGTGTCTACCGTAGATGACGGTGCACACTTATACACCCTTGTCAACGGTATGACGGGGGAGGAAGATGGCGACGTCGGCCTCGAGGCTATGCCTGCAGTAGATGCTCTCCTTAAGCTGGACGAGGTGTCTCTTAAGAGTTCGGCAGTGCCTTGAAGGCAAGCAATTTGGCCGAAGTGGTCATTATACGACCGAACGAGGAGATAAACTCGTCATCGCTTCTGGATGAAGCTGTCTTGGAAGACACCAAGAGAGAGCTGAACGCACGAAGTGGATCATTGATCCTACGGAATCCCTTGGATCCGTACTATCTTTTGGTAGAGGAATATTAAGATTTCGTCTCCAAAGATCCGCCTTCGATCCTACCTCCGGACCGAGGTGTGCGTAATGAGATTGACCTGGTTACGAGAACCAAATTCTGCGTAACACGCCAATGGCCCCTGCCCAAGGAGCAGTGCGACGTCATTGACGCCTTTTTTCCGTGCGAAGCACGACGCATGGATGGTGCGTGAGAGTAAGTCTCCCCATTCGACACCCAAGTTTTCTGTTCGGAAGCCGAACGACAAGTGGCGTATCGTTCATGCTTACAATAAGCTCAACGCTGCCACCATTCCGGCACAAACGCCGAATTCTAGAAAGGATGTTCTTCAGAGCAACATAGTGGGGTGTACGAAGTACAGTGCACTCGATTTGGTAGATGGATACTAGCAATTGCTCATGAGGGTGAGTGACATTCCGCTGACAGCGGTAAGCACCCCGAGCGGTATGCTCTGGAAGTGGCTGGTGATGCCCCAAGGGCTGTCAAATGCACCAGCAATATTTAATCGTCTAGTGACGCAGTTGTTCAGTCCCCGCAGGGCGTATGCACAGACATACTTTGACGATATTTTCGTTCACAGTCGTGCGGAGCACGGGAGGACGGATGTGGAGAACCACATCGTCCATTTAAGAGCGGTGCTCAAGTGCATGCGCACAAACAAAGTGTACGCCAATGAAGACAAGTGCATCTTCGGCGCAGAGATATTCCCTTTTTAAATTGCTTCATTGGGAAGCGTGGCCTTTGAGCGGTTCCCGCTAAGGTCAAGGCCATTGTAGATTGGCCGGTTCCAAAGAACCAGAAGGACTTGCGTAAGTGGCTTGCCTTCGCCAATTACTTGAACAAGTACAGCGTAAATTACGCAGAAATTGCGCGGCCATTATCCAATCTCCTTAAAAAGGATGCGGAATGGTGTTGAAACACCAAACATCAGTAAGCTTCTAACGGGATCAGAAACAGTCTCCTGCATGCACCAATACTGGCACTGCCGGATCCCGATCGTCCTTTTTAGCGTCGTCTGTGACGCTTCAGACATTGCCATTGGCTGGGCACTGCTGCGACCAGACGCCGAGGGGCGAGATCTGGTGATTGCGTTCGAATCTCGACAGCTCAAAGCTGCAAAGAAGTGCTACCAGTTCATGACAAGAAGCTACTTGCGATGAAGTATGCACTTGTCAAGTTCAGGGTCCACCTGCTCGGCTCCAAGCCGTTTGTGATTTACACAGATCATGCGTCATTACGCACTGCGACAGTCGCCCCACCTCTCGCAGAGGATAACTAGATGGCTATCCTTCTTTGCGGAATATAACTTCGAGGTGAAGTATAAGCCGGGAAA